TGGTATACATATTGTCTGAAGGTGGAAACACAGTTACTTCTTATAATCTTTTCTAAACAAGGCAAATTTCCTGCAGTCTCAAGTAATACCAAACGCTTAGTGAGCAATATACAATGTACGACGATCAATAAATTAAAATTAATTCGGCGTGCGAACGACGAGATCCGATACGCGATATTGACGCCTACATTTATCATTCGCTAACACATCGGATATTTCACGGGGATTTGCCCCGCTAAAGTAACACCTAATGCCCTGTAAATAAGGCCGACAGGGGCTCCGATGATTGAGCACGTAATGGTCCGGTATAAGAACAAAGGATAACACGTCTAAACTCGATATTTCGAAGGGATAAGTTAGCGTGCCTGGAAGGTAAGGCATCAGACACAAGTGTTTGACACGTGTTTAATATTGCGCTAGATAGTGTACAAAATGCGCTAGCGACCTAATTTCGCTTTGGATATTCGGAAATTCAAAGATTGAAACCGAAAAGCGCCTAAACTTCACGGCTTTTGGATAGTCCTACCACCCATTTTATATCTAGATTTCCAAACGAAGTCCAATGTGATTCCGAAAAATTATATATTGGTTAAACACGTGTCGACTCGGTGGGGGTCGAATCCTCGACCCGCTTACCTTTAATAATGGTTTTAATCGCTTTATATATTACATTTTAGCGTTAATATATTTTTAATTTAATCCGCTACGTGGAAACAGGAGGACTGCCGCTTGAATATTAAAAATCAGTTTACTTTATATATTTCACGTTTTAAACCGTTAAAATAGTTTTATTTAGACGTGTACTACTCGCGTAATCTACAGACAACATTATTAGCTGCTTATATAACTTTACTTAGGAACTGTGAGTAATTTGAGCAATTTTACGATTACTATTTGTAGGATTCAGTAGTTTACAAAAAGTAGACGTAGAAATATGCTAAACATATACAAAATCTGCCCCAAGGGAATTAGCATTAACTGCTGGTTTTTTAGTTTTTTAAGCTGCCGTAAAACCGTTACAGTCGCGTCTATTTGAACAGCACTTGCAATGCCCTGCAGCGCACACGATAACATCTTTAGCTGCATCTGCTCGGCAGACAGCCGGGGGTTGGGGTTCAATTCCGGTGCTTTGTCTAGTATGAGAACCCGCTTTGATTGGTTTATGATTAGATTTCGTATTTACTTTTTAGGTGATTCCCTTTACAGATATTATGTGTTAATGTATTGATTGATGTTCCCTGGCCAGTGAAATATCCTAGCCATATAACAAATTTAAATTAAACATTTTTAACGGTCTAAAACACGAAATGTATAAATTAATCATCAATTTATCGTTATCACTAGCGCTAGCGAATCAGAATTTAACCTTGACACCCTAAATCTTTATTCCCCCAGTGACCACGACTGCTGCACTAAAAAAAACGGGCGCAATATTTTTCACGTTTTAAACCGTTAATAGTATTTTATTTAAATGTTTCGCGTAACAGACAGTATTTATCGGCTTTGTTATTTGTGTATGGCGGTTCGTAGACTTTTCGAAATTTCTACGGTCGGAGTAGGATTTTTAGGTCTAAAATAAGTTTATATAATAATTCTATGCAGGTTGAGTAATCTTATGTTATATCGTGTAATAGTAAAAATAAAGCCAAGGTTATGACTATAGCTTTTAACGAAAACCTGTCATTAGAGATTTCAAACTACACGTGCAAGCTGTATTTTCATTCGGTAGCCATAACAAATAATTAGACGTACGTGTAATATCAAGGCTGTATTAAATAATGCATTTGTTATTCAATTCGGTATAAACAATTGTCTAAGCCTAACAAAAAACCATCTATACACCCCGTACCATGAGATTTGTCAAGAACGAAAACACTGTAAAATCGCCTAAATAAAACACATTTTAACTGAAATATATCAGTTAACTTAGTTACACTTCATTTCTATAACCTAAGGTTTCGGTTGCTTGACAACAGTCGTGGTCACGGGGGCAATTTTTGTTAATTAAACGAAAAATTAGGATTTCTCATAATCTTATTTTTTTTTTGTAAACCATTTTTATGTACTTTTTGTTTTGTATTTTTTGGATTGGATATATTTTGACATTTCGGGACTCCTCGCTAACACAATGTTGATCCTACTATGCAAAATTTGAGTTATTCAATATGTTGTATTTAACGCGATCATGGTAGGGGTCAGGTAAGCCATGTGGCTAGATGGTGCGATAGGGGAAATTATTCATACGTTATCGTACCATCGCTGGTGGCATTGTGAACGAAGGGTGGCTGCCGGTTGTCGTTGCTGATGTCACAACGCCGTTGTGTGCGCGGCCTAATGTCTGGATTTATATTGAACGGATTTTTAGAAGTCGTTCAGCTTTGACGTCTCGATTGATTCGAAATGTGACTAACAAACAAAAATACAACCTTTACTTAAATTATTATAAAGCCTTATTCATTGCTTATTATTAAGTAACGACTTTTATTACGACGGTCTTTTTATACTAAAGTTATTTCCAACATGATATTTCTGTAACTTCAACAATTCTTGTTTGTACAATTGCACAACTTTTTTTTAAAGGCCTAAAAAACTAAGATTATATTTAACAGACGTGGTTACAATAGCATTCTACGTAATTAAGCTTATAATAACGCAGACACGACATGCAAATAAAGTTTGAACGTACACAGTTAATAATAACTTCATTGTATATTTATTTCATTATTGCTGTATTGGGCAGACTCTGTCTGTTTCATAACTGTGTCTGTTTCATCACTCTGTGACAGGCTAATCTGTGCCCCACCCAGGTGAAACTACTACTTGTGTTTCTAGAGTTCGATTCCAGGTGGTCATGTAGGTGGTATATTCCATTATTAAGAGTATATCACGAGCTTCATTTTAGTCATGTCACAGAGAGTGCACAGATAATATCTAACCTAACATATCAATCATTGAAATTCCTGAATTAAGCAAATGATTGTGCCGAGCCTCATTTGCCATTGTAAACAGAGAATCACTAATGAATTTCGAACCCACTTACCTTGCAGTCCGGGTGCGTTGATAAGTATCTCGTTTATCTCCCGTTCGGATCGACACCTGGGCGAGATCGATGCGGGCAAGGGTTGAAAAGTAGTCGAAATTCAGTTTATGTGCGTCATTAAAAATATTCTGATTATTATGCGTCTTCTGTTAGTGGAGTTTACGCGAGTAGTATACAATGAAACACTTTTAACGGTTTAAAACGCGTTTTTTTTTATTTAAACCTGTTTTTAATATGAATCGACGTTTCAAAATTCAACAAAATCGGATTAGCATTCTTGCGAGTTAATAGTAAACTATAAGCATAATGTCACTACATTATATTTTGATAATCTAAAACTGAAATCATTCTTTTGAACATATTTTTGGGTTCGATTTCCACCGCACGAAAATGTACCAAGATGTTGTGACGTTTTTCTCCACATTTCTACTATTTCTTCCGCTCCTATTATTCGCAGCGTGATGTTAATAGCCTGGAACCTTCCTCGATAAAGGATCTATGTAACCCAAAAATAAGTTTTCAAATTGAACCAGTGTTACCAGATTAAATCAATTACAAAACCAACTGTTCAGCTTTATAATAGTATAGACTCGTACACCTATGCAATTAGCTATGTACTTTTAAAACGTGGAAACATCGACGTCAATTATTACCCGCAGCGCACCGCAGGACAAACATAGCAAGGGGTACATCCCCTCCAAAGCTAACCAATCCTCAAACAGCTATCAGCACTCCCTTGCAAATACATATGTTGGTGTTCTTTAAATAATAATTGTTGAAATTGAAAGGGGATTCAATTGTGTGATGCATATGGTAAATGTCGGCGTTTTATTGGTTTGTTATTTGCTGAATCATTTCAATTTATCTAAATATGTACAGCGTTATTGCGACCAAATGACTAGACATTGTGTTTGGCAGTTTTTTTCAAGTTTGATGGTAGATAAAATACCGCAGCCTATCTAAACAAGATGTTTTATGATTATTTTGTATCGTTTCAATTCGAGTAGTACACATTTAAAACAGTTTAACGGTTTAAAACGCGATATATGTTAGTTAAACTTATTAACATCACTCGGCGGTTGCAAAGCATTCGAAACGTCGCGACGTAGTTAACATAATTTCCAAATAAGATAATATACAAATAGTAACCACAATATGTTTAAAGTTAACTTTTATTTGAATAAGATCGTATTGGCTCTTAAGACAATATTTGTCATAATGAAGAAAGTAAAAAGGACTTCATGATACCTTTTTTATGTCTTTAACAACTGAAATAAATCACGTCCCCTTTGACAGTTTAATAAAGACAATAAGAAACTTTTTCTCACTGGCAACCTAATGAGTAAAAACTTTTTACACAACCTTCTTGCAACGTACAAAAGGAACGCGAACTCCCAATTTTTATTTAGCTGTAAAACGTAAACAAATCACTCATCTATATAATTAACTTGACAGAGTAGTTATTAAATTAACGAAACCGCTATTAATTGCCCTTTGTTACGATTCAGAATATTCTTTTGTTTTAGCCGGCGTGGCTTGACATTTCGTTGGATCTAATACCCATTATACTTTAAAAATTACAAATTCAATAGCCAAACATCTTCATCGCTTGAGAATATTCATGAATACTATCCTATTTTCTATCTTTATAATTAGTCACCTAATTATTGTATGGAAAACTTATTCCACATTGTTACGGAAACATTGAAATCTCGTTTACTAATTGTGCTTGAAATTATAATGAAAACGTCGTAATGAGACACAGTGCAGTCTTCTACAGCTCCAGAATATAAATTCGTTTTACTTAAACCATAAAACATTTGTTCTTTCTTTAATAGAGGAAGATGGAGAAGCGTGGGGTTTATTTGATAGTAGGATACCAATTCAACTATACTATACCAAATATATATAAAAATTGCATGCACACAGACATATTCCTTAACATATTTTCTCTTTCCAGGTCGGACGTTAAGTAGCGGAAGTGGCCAAGTGTGCAGGCCACACTTCCACACCCCGCTACACCCGTGGCTGGACTCCAAGGCGCTGGGCAGCGGGGCCTGGGGCAGCGGCTTCCAGCAGGATGGCGCCGCGGAGAAACCCCTCTCCCCAGCCCAGCACCCCCACCCGCACCCACTCTTCTCCTTCCCTCCAACTCCCCCCAAAGACTCGACGCCGGACTCCGTAGCGGCGGCGGCGCTCGGGCAGCAGGACTACCAAGCGGCCGTTGCCCACGCGACGGCGATGAGCGTCGCCTTCATGCAGCAGCAGCAGGAGCTGCCCCTCTGCGGCGACGTCAAGCCCATGATGGGCGCGCCGTCGAAGCAACGCGAAGGTGCGCAGGCGGACTCTTGTCCTCAAGAGAGTCAGAACTCTGGGGAATACAACGCGCAATACAACGCCGCCGGCGACTACTACAGCTACCAGGGGAAGGGGTATAGCGGGCAGCAGCAAAACAAACCGCGACCGAACAAGACGCGAACGAGCGCCGGTGAGTTCGCGCGAATGCTCGTTATGCACTCGCTCGCACACACACACACACGCTTATCCGACCATGCGACATGATTATTTCAAGTAACTAAAGAGTGAACAAATTATAAGATTCCGTAAACAATCCGGAAAGTTGAAATGGGACATAGTGAGAGTTGCACAACCCAAAGTCTGCATCGCGGAAATGGGGTGGGGGGTGAAATAGTCAGCTGACAGTGTGGACTGATCACCCAGCCTTCTATCGGTGTCCCCAAATAATAATAGTAATACTAGAAATTAACTTAGACTAATTCTAACATTTCTACCTTATACAGTATTTTCATTTTAAATCAGCAGCACTACAATAGAAAAAAGTGTATAATCAATTTTGGCTAAAATTTAGTTTTTCTATCCCTTAATCTCTGATCAATAAATCCTATTATAACAAAAAAAGCTGTCTTAGTCACCGTTGTGAAAGTGGCGTAAAAAAAATCTCCAAATTCTCAATACAGAAATTGTTTCAAAAGCGCTATCTATCGGCGATCTAAAAAATTGGTTGTCACGGTGTAAGACGGTCTAAGACCTGGTAGCGATATAATGACAAGTATTTCATTTAAGATGGTCTGATAAGCGTGGTACTTGCACCGGGGTACACGGCTCACAATCACTGGTGTTAAGGCTTTTACTAAAACGGTGGCGGTAACTAACTTTCTAATTGGTGTTGGTATTACTAATATCCCACGGACTACCATATCGCGAAGAGAACCAGCCTGGTTTTACTTATGAATTCATTGCTAATATCCTTTTGTTCGTAATTAACAGTATTCCTTCTTATCCAATTATATCTTTTACAAAGACGAACTACGGTAAAAACTTCACGATTCAATTTAAAATACACCAGAGATTAAAAAAAAGCTCAACTTTTTTTTTAATTTTAATTATTAGCATTGCAAGACTATACGCATTTATAAGTAAACTAACTTAAATTCTAAACAAAACATAAACGGGAAATTAACAATGCTATATTTTAAATTAATGTGTAAAACTTAAACATAATGCTCTTACTTAATAAACATTCACATTTGCGTTTACTTAATAATATTGTAACAGGGGTAATCAAGATAAATAGAATTACATAAAATTTGTGGGTAGACGCAATTACTTAGATATGTTGAATCTACTATTCGTATTCATTGTTCGAAAGTGACATGTGAACTTCGAAGTTAAGTTTCTCATTACTTAATTGCAAGGGCTATTGTCTTAAGTTGGTTTCTATTTAAATTTTAGAGCTATTTTCGAAATCATTTAATGACGAAACCGAGCGAATCTTTGCTTGAACTGAATTCCAGATATAAAAGAATACTTAGATAACTTAACAATCTAATAAGAAAGAAATCATTGATAATTTATATCACAAATAATACAAATAGTGCGTTCAAATTGACTTTTACATTGGTTACATTACACATTAAAGAAGTTTAACTATAAGAAATTTAAATATTAACTCCTAAACACCAAAAATCTACCCTTGACAACCGTTGCTATGGATTGTATATGTAGTATAAAAACTAAATATCTCCTGGTAATAAGTATACTATGATTTCCTTGTTGAGAACCATATAATCCTAATTTAGACTTTAGTGACTTCAGTAACAAGATTCTAACTATCGATATTTTCCGTAAAATTTTTGTGATTTAAGATTAAGATTCGAAATTCACACGCTTAATATTTAACCATCGATCCGTGGCGGCTGTGTCGAAAAACGTGACGCATTATACATTTTTTCACTGACCTTTACTCAATGCGACTATTGTCTCAAACAATTGGACTTTTCGCAATCCACACCAAAATTACACAATATCAAAAAATGTATTTATACAAACATAATTATAACTCGTAAGGCTTCCACAATGGCCGGGAACAAAAAGCCCGCTCTTATTGTTTGTGATTATGCTCTGAATGCAATGTAGTTATTGATATCATAGACAAATGTTTCAATGATATCTGGGTTTATGGTAGACCTGGTTTAAATGTTATACCAATTTGTATTAAATGTTTCATGGCATTTAGCGTTTGCTCGCAAAGGGTTATTAGTTTCGTTTCCGATGATTTGCAAGTATGTGCCCTGGCCAACCGAAATTTTATGTTTAAATAAAACACTTTAATGGTTTAAAACGCGATATATATTAATTAAACTTATCGGAATTATTTTTATCTAACGCCCGACGTTTCGGATGCTTCGCAGCAGCCGTGTTCTGTAAAAAAGTTGAACTAATATTGCGTTTTAAACCGTTAAAGTGTTTTATTTGAATGTGTACTACTCGCGTAAACGACAGTATTAATTTAATGTTTCCCTGGAATTCGAAACACGTTCCATCCGTCACTTATATATATTTTACCCTCATAAATATATAATAATTACGAAAAGTAACATTAAACTGGCTGTAAGTCGAATGCTTGTTACTCTTTTTATAACAACTCGTCCTACATTGTTTCCATCTAGTTATATCATAAAATTATTACTTAAGTATCTCACGAGAGCGGATCTGATGGCCGCTGGAATTTCTCAGGGCAGTAATTGGTGGTGTATTGAAAAAACTTCACCATTAATTGCTCATGAAAAACCGAGCTATGAAACAGGTTGTCAAAGCACTCATGGATGAGGTGTGATAAATCAGATATAGATAATAACTAGCGGAAACGGGGCTTTTTTACCGACTCTATGTATAGACAACAATGTTGTAGAATTCAAAAAAGGAACATCGATTACTTTGAATAATATTAACGGGCATAGATTATAACTTATATTGCTACTTGTAAATACGATTGACCACGGATTGAAAATTGCAAATTCTTTAATAAAAACGATAAATTCTTCGGAAACAAGTATATTAGTTGATAAAAACGTTTTCCTTCAAGAATACAGCGTTTACCAATTCATACGATGTTAACTTGTGTTTTGTTCGCTACAAACACGTTTTAGAGTACAAAAAGTTCTAATGGTAATTGAAAATTGCCTCTCAATTCATTTATTTAATCGTCCAGCTCTGTTGGTGACGCATTATTTAATTAAGCGTGTTTGTACACGTATTTTATAAAGATGATACACAAATGGAAAAAAGTACGGTCAACAAATTAAATGTTGTTTAAGTGTTTATTTTGTTATAGACACTTAGCAACATAAAACACTAACGGTTTAAAACGCGATATATATTAGTTAAACTTATTTGGAAGTTATGTTTAACTACGGCCCGACGTTTCGGATGTTTTGCAGCAGGGAAGACTCTCGTGATCACGGCGTACAGACACGAAATTTCTAAATAAGTTTAACTAATATATGTCGCGTTTTAAACCGTTAAAGACAGTATTTACACTTAGTTAGTTATTTGTGGGTTCAGAATCATGTTGTAAGAAATTTATGAAAAAAAAGCACTATCTATGGCAAAAAGTTTTATTATACGTACCTATAATCTGTAGTGTTCCTATAATCTGTGGTCTAGCTTAAAGTTTGATTTGAATTTTAGTAACGACGTCATTCCAAATAGATTCTATTCTTTATTTGTTTTGCATTGATGTTTTTTTATGTAAATTAATACTGTATAGTTCGTATACTTAGAATTCCGCGGGCGACCTTACCAACGGTTCAAGGATACCCTTAACGGAGCTCAGCAGGATATTGGCTCAACATTAGAGACTAGACTACCTGCCTATAAGTCTCTTTGATCTGTCTAAGTATTTAACAATATATAAGAATTTGCTTTTAATACAGCTAGGACCATTGTTAATTTAATGTGTTTTTATAGTTACGAAACACTTTAAACGGATTTTAAAAGTGTGGTCAGCCGTGGTCAAGGGGAGAGAAACTAAGAGGTCATTTTTAAATACGTTAAATATTTCACGTTTTAAACGGTTAATGTGCCTTGACTATAGTCCTTTACTATTTATTCAAGATCATTAAACAATGAGTTATATAAGAGATATATGGTTTTTAATAATATCGATTTCCTAAGTATAAAAATATTGCAATTCCGCTGATGCCTGATGATGATAACAGCAATCGTTGTTGCTTAGTTTAAACCGTTAAAAGATTTATACATACATATTTGCTGTGTACCATTCTCCTTAACTAACCTACTATTTAATATTTTTCATTAATAAGACAAAACTACAGACAAAGTTATAACAGCTAAACTTATTTCGCAAATAAATAACGCGATAATATCGAAACAAATTCGCAAAGCACACGACGCAACAAAGGCCCTCCGTCCGTGACCCGTTAGGTCGAAATCAATAGGTACAAAATGAATACAGTTGCTATCGTTTAGTAGGGAGTTAGAAGCGTTAGTTTCATCTGAATCTGCTTGTTTAGCACATCCACGAGGTCACTCTGACAATGGAATGGGCCACATCCGGGCACCGCATTATCATAATATCCAAGGAGTACCTATTTTCACCTATAAAACCTCTTTGATGCGAATATTAACGTTGAGTTGAAGCGTGTTTCGTTCCAATTTAAAACTAGGTTTTAGACTTCCATTTGAAGTTTAAAAGATCTAAACTGAGTATATTGGGTGCGTAATTAAATTACATTCAAATGTACATATCCTTCTAAATAAAACACTTTGAACGGTTTAAAACGTCATTACAACTAACACAAAGCATTCGAAACTTCGAGACGTGGTATATTTCGAGTTAAAAACCGTTTTAAGTGTTTTACTCAAATGCGTATTACTCGCGTAAACCACAGACACTTATTGTGAAATTATATATATATTACCCTTTATTAATTAATTTAATAACTTAATTAAATTGTAATTTTTATACCCTTACTATGATTAACAGCCGAATAAAAAGAAAATATAACATTAGTACTTTTTGCTATAATATACTTATACTATATGATATATTATAATAATGTCGACAGGAAATCTCATCATTTAACCAAATACATTTCCGATTAATATCATTACACAAACGTCATTAAATGCATATTGAACCATTCGCGAATGTTAAATATAACG